CTCAAGCACTGGTCAAGGTCTGTCGGGTTCCGGCAACTTTGAAGGCGACGATGCTTCGCTCGACCTTTCCGACGTCCGTGGACGTCTTGCGACCATTGTCAAGGGTATCCTTGACGCGTATGCTCGCGAGTGGCGCTCTTCCAACGACCGGGCAGCTGTTAACAAGCTCCTCGTCGCCATCGATGCCGCCGAAGGACTTCCAAGCGACGCATTGGAAGGGCTGAAGATTGACATCAAGGCGCTCGAGGAGGCAAGCGCCGACGCCGTGTCTCAGGGATATCTTCGTGGATGGCATCTCAGGACCTTCCTCATCGGCAACTTTGCGCCTCTGCTTGCTCAGCCGCGGCCAACTGACTTCCGCCTGCTGTTCCAGTCTGATGACGCGAGCGAGGGGACGGGCAGCATCCCTGACGTGGTATCGGCAAGCAGCTCACGCGAGACGACAAATGCGTGCGTCGACGCCATCGTCCGTCGGATGGGACGCAGCGAGAAGCTGCAGTACCTCGAGAGCCTGCTCGAGGAGCTCGACGAAGGACAGGCCGTGGATGGACAGCTCCTGGCTATCCACCAAGTTGTCGTTCGCCTGACCGGTACGTTGCTGCGATTTCACGACGACTTTTGACTGGCCGACAATGACTGACAAGCTGCAGACGAACAAGGTTCATCCGAAAAGACCACGTCCTTTGATCTGGCAACGGCCCACAGCAAGCTCACCGCGCGGCTGGGCCAAGACGACGTCAGCCCCGCGCGTTCTGCCGGACCGCCGACGTCGTCCGCCTGCTTCTCGACCAGCGTGCCACTTTGATGACGCAATGGAACATTGAGACGACGCTCGGCGCTGTTTCCGTCATGGCCTCCGGCAGAGGCGGCGTGGCCGTGTCGTCGTCGCCGCGCGTCTACGAAGCCCTCTGCAGCCTCGTGAGCGTCGTGATCCGGCGCCACCGCCTCCGCCTCGAGGACCACTACCACATCCTCCTGTCGACGCTCGAGGCGCTGCTGCGCGCGCTCGTCCACGATGCCAGCAAGGGCGCGGCGGCGACGCTCGGCAGCCGGCACGCGACGCTGTACGGCCGGCTCGTGACGCTCGTGACGGAGCCGTCGGTGGCGTCCGTGTCGCGGGCGCAGCACGTCGGCGCGCTCGACTCGGCGACGGACGCGGCCAAGAAGACGGCCCGGACGGCACGTGTACCTCGTGCTCATGCAGTATGTCAAGCTGCAGCTCGAGGTGGACGTGCCGCACGGCGTGCGCGAGGCGCTGGAGCCGGGGATGCACTCCATCTTTGACGTGACGCCGTCGGAGGTCCGGAAGATTCTCAACGACGCCATGGACGCCAGCGGCAGGGCGATTCTGCGCGAGATGTTTAAGCGGTACACGCAGTTTGGCAAGTGGAGCGGCGTGTAGGGCTGCGGCGGTGGCTGTGGAGGACGGATGGATGGACGGAGGGATGGAACGGCATGTAGTGATACCCTTGACCATAGACTGTGCGACACGGATAGAGCACTCGGTCGAAATACACGTCGACTGAACGTGAAAGAAATTGAGCAAATACGTCACGTGCTTGTTACGAGCTACTCTTCATTCCGACTTGATTACGGGTATCTAGTTTGTCCCCCCCCCCCAGGCCACACGCAGGTCCAATACGCAGGCCTGACTGGTCTAAGGCGCCACCTTGGCATAGGTGCTCGGATGGGCGTGGGTGCGGCCGTACTTCTTCGCCTTGCCCATCATGTCGGGCAGCACGAAGAGCCAGATGAGGGGCGTCACGAACATGGCGGTCAGGGTGTCGACGACCCAGTTGTTGCGGATGGAG